TCATGACTCCAACATCTTTCCACAAAACGACTGAAAATTAACACTGATTGTCTACCTCCTATAAATTCTTTTTCCTTATAGGATAATGTTTTTAGATGTGGTGCTTTCAAAGTAACAAAGTTAAGATGTTACTTTTAGGGCTGTGCCATTTAGGCATATTAGTGGATACATCATAGATGTTGGGGCAGTACAGCAAAAATACCTTTGATTTTTGATGTCCGAAGTCCAGAATTTGCTATTTTGTGCATGCAAACAATGAATCCCAATCATTATGGCTTTCTCTAGAATAATTTCCTCTTCCTACAGACTGCAGATGTATTTTTCTGATCGAGACTCCGAGATTTAAAATAATAAAATAAAAACATAATATCTATTTTTTACATTGAATGGTTACCATGTGCTAAATATCTTGCTTAATAGTGGGTTATCTCAATTAATGCTCACAACAACCTGATAAATTAGAGACTGTCATTATCCTTATCCTACAGATGGAACTGAAGCCACAGAGATTGAGTAGTTTTAGTAACTTGGTTGAGATTACATCGTTACCAAGTAAGGGGAACTCGGTTTGGACTTGAGCTATTCTACTCTGGTCCTATGCACTTAACCTCCATTCTATACTGCTTCCCAATGCCTCTGAATGCTCCGAGATTTTTAAGGGCAACTTTGAGCATAGGTTTTCTGGTGATAATAAAAAGCTTAATGGTGCAAACGTGGGTTTTGCAGTCTCAAAGTAGCTGATGTTCTTCATAGATCCATAAATGTTGACGTCATTTCCTCCAAGGGTGAGTGACGTATTTGTGTTTTAAAAATGTATCTAGACAGTCTTTTCTGAGATTCTTCACATAACAACTTAGTTAACAGAATATAACACCTTACATATTGTAGTGGGTAGGGTATCAGGTATGCAGCTTTCAGAAAGAGATTTTAAACGTTCAGTGGCTTCAATAAGGTAGAACTTTCTTTCCCTCTAATTTAAAGCTGTAGTGGGGCAGTAAAGGCTGGGGAGACAGTTCTCCGTGAAGCAAGACAGGGACGCAGTTTCCTTCCATCTTACTGCTGTGCACCTTGAAGGCTGGGTCACCTTCTTCACACCACGTCTTGGAGGCTGGGTCACACCACGTCCGTGTGCCACGTGGCATGCATGCAGAGGAGGCAGTATAGGGCCAGCACTTTTCTTTTAGGCAAGGAACGTGGGAAATGTACCCATTGTCCCCTCTTGCACTCCATGAGGAAAACAAAGTCACGTGGCCAAACCCAGCCACAAGGCAGCATGGGAAATGTAGTCTCTAGACAGGTGGCCACGAGGCTGGCTAAGCCTCAATTCCAGTGACAGAAGAGGAAAATAAATTTGGCAGGGAAGAGGAGCTAGCCGTCTATGACATATCGATATGCAGACACTACAAACAAATCAATTTCTGGTTTCGGCATTTTTTTGGGGGGCGGGTAGGCTCTCTGCAGAGTAATATACATGATTTAGACGTGAGTTAAAATGAGTTTAAACCTAATATCACTTAAGTCTAATAACACTGACCAATTGGTTTTGTGCCTGCTAATAATACTGACGCTTTGACAACAGGGTTAGTAAATGGATAGTTGCTTTACATTAGGTGAGAACATTTTGAAATTATGTGTAAGAAGGTTGTATTGAGCAACTAATGGAAGGAATGCAGTGAACATGAATTGTTCTGTCTGCCAAGAGTCCCTTTTCCCATCTGACAGAGAGCCAGGAGCCTTCTTTAGGAAGGGTCCCTGTCTCACTCCTTGTGGCTGTCAGTGGGGTAGGGGGACACCTCATAAGTGCCTTCTGAGGAAAGCTGCCTTAAGTAGTTCTCTCTGAGTACAACTACTCAGGCTCTGTATTACCGCGGTGTAGATTCCATCGGATGACCGCTGCCCTAGGGCCCTAGTAACATGACGTCTTCCTGTGTCTCCTCAGCTAAGGGGTAGTACAGTTCCCCCTGCTGCTGCTAATCTCTGGGTAACCTCCCCATGGCTTGTTTGGTTCTCAGTTCTTTCCTCACCCGTGTAACTCATTCCCTGTATTAGATTCTCTGCGTGTAAATAATTGAAATGGTTTCTAGTGTCCTGATAAGACGTAACTGATGAAACAGCCTACTCCATTGGGTTGTTACAGTTCTAGCTACATACAAAGACTAACTAGTCACCTTTTAATCCCAATTTTCAATTCTCTCTGAAAGAGAAGCTGATTGACCTTGTTGGTTTCAGGTTCTTGATGGGGGCTGGAGGTGGGGAAAAGGGAGAGGTGATTGAGGGTTGGTGGGAGATAGCTCTTATTATGATCTACAAAAACAGCCGCCACAGTATCTGCTACAGGAACACAGGCTGGGGAGGGGGAGACCCAAATGGCCCATGTTATCCTACAATATTTTTAGTAATTTTTATTATTAGCCTAAAAGCCTTTATTACAATGTTAATTATCTTTGTAGTCAAAATAACTCTTAATCTTTCTTATTTTCTTAATAGTGAAAGGCTTTAATCGTGTTGTTATCTCTACCTGGGGTTAGCTGCATTTTAATGGATGGGTCTGAGTGATGAAAAGGTTTTGAAAATGTGAAACAGAGAAGAATGAGAGAAGTTGGATTTCTTGATATGACTCATAATTGTGACCTGTAGCTCTAGCCTGAGGGTGGGCCAGGTAAAATCCTAGAATGGGGGTGGGTTTGAGTTCAGGTCCTCAGGGAGGCAGACACCAAGATGGGATTGGATATACAGAAGTTTAATTGAGAGAATAGCAGTGAAGGATAAAAGGAAGGGAGCAGGAACTTGGGAGAGAGACTTCAGACCACGATGCAGGTCTGACACCTGTAAAAGCTAACAGGGAAGGAAGGAAGGAAGATTAACTAAGAAAGTCCCAAGACTGCAGGCAGTTCTAAGAAAGTTTTGACCAGGCCTGTGGGGAATCCTTGAGCCAAAGCTGCCCATTAGAGGAATCCTGTGTTAGTAGCCCTGCTGTGCTCTGTCAGCTGGGGAGCAGCCCAGCAGGGAGAGTGGCCTCAGCATAAACACAATGGTGGACCCAAGGGGCAGAAAGAGTCTTACCAAAGTCTTACGTGTAAGGAATGTTCTTTTCTGTAAGTCATTTCCCAGAACACAAACTGGTGCGGGGATTTCTTAATAGTCTTCGCTTTCCATGAGTACAGGCTCTGGTAAATTTCAGTGTTGTCACTGCAAAGCCTTTTTTTAAGGCCTAGGCCTGGAACTGGCACAGATTTGTGTGTGTGTGCGTGTGCCATATTCTATTGTTTAAAGCCGTGCCAGGTCCAGCCCAGATTCAAGGGGAGAGATTACACAAGAGCATGACTTCTGTGGAGGCATGGTTCATTGTGGGTCACCAAAATAATGGTGTCCCACAGATTCTGAACCTTGGACTAGATATTTAGAGTGGAATGCTACTAGCATACCTGAGGTGGTAGCTGAAATTATCGGGTGGAATCAATCCATGGGTGCATCCATTGGTAAGTGCAGAAAAGAGCCCACCAACATGCAAACACACGAGAGCTGGGTTGTGATTTTCCTTTTTCTCAGAAGCTCTTGTTAACACTGTTTCTTGATCAACATTTATCCCAACATTTTCCTGGGTTTCTGTTGCTAGTTCTATTTCTTGAACATCTTCATCTCAATATTCACTAGTTTAACAGTAATGATGACTGGTCTAGCCAGAGCTACCAGTTAGTACGTTTTTACATTTTAATTAGTTTTTCCCTGATTAAATCTGGCACGAGGCACTCACTTAACCTGTCCTGCTTCTGCAACAAAAAGGGCCTGCAGAAAGTGAGGGAATCCTCCCGTGCAGGGGAGGGTTTGTTTGTGAACAAAGGTCTCCCACGCAGGGACCTTCCTCTGAAACTCGCTAACCTTTGGAAATTTGACCTTTCTCGGCCTTCGTTTCCTTTTTCTGGACTCAACAGTATCAATTTCCGTTGGGCTCTTTGTGAAGATAGGTTAACAAAAGACCGTAAATCTTTTTAACTAGGTGAAGCATTTACCACTCTAATTAGCATTACCATTCATTCAAAGGCTTTCATATTGGCGAAACAAGCAAAACGGCACCGCGCTGTTTAAATCATGATTAAGCAGAGGTGGAGGCCAAGGCACAGCATTTAGGCAGATCTGCATTCGGATAGTCAGTCATCCGACCTTTGCCGAGATACCATAATGCTAAAGACATACTGCCCTAGGTTATGAGGTAACATAAAATACAAGCCTAGTACTGTGGTTTGTAAAAAATAACTGTTACGTATTATTTCTCCACGAATTATACTTAAGTAGGTATGCACAAAATGCTAGTGACTCCCACAAAGTAGCGTGGGGTACGTTTCACAGCGGAAGTGACATATTGGCTGGGTCTTGAAGCAGGAATAGGAGTCCACTCAGCTGCAACAAGGAAATGTAAATTCTTAGGCAGGAGGCCCAGCCCCTCAGAAGGTCTCACCCTGGTAAGGTAGTGGTGGTGAGTGGGAGGGTCTAAGTCCCGGGCAGAGTCCCAGCCTCCAGCTGCGCGCTGGCGGAGAGGGGGTGTGGAAGGTAGAGAAGGAAAGGGGAAGGAATGGAAAGGGTGGGGGGGGAGA